TTAATGCCAACTTCGGTCTTTGTCGGAACTTCACTCGTGGGTTTGAATAACCCTGTTGTAGGATATGATAAATGCGGGTACCCCCTGGGCACCTTTTAATTATCCAAAGGTTCGTGGAGGGCAGCTCCAGTTTTACTTTTGTGAAGATGGATTATAATTGGGCCTCAGTTCTATCAACAGGCTTCAAGACCGTGCACACGGATTGATACTTTTTATCAGACAATATGGCCAAACACCACTTCTTAGTGTTGGGTCAAGCATAGGCAACTCCCGAATATTGCGTATCCCAGTCCAATTCAATTTCATCGGTATATTCATCATAATCACTGGAAGACCTCATGTAAACACTTTGAATAAGAAAAAAAAATAGACGAGCAGGATGGATTGCCACATAAGGAAAAGTGTATTTACCGTCGCTAGACAGATTAATTTAGGGAGAGAAATGATCTGTGAACCAAAACATGGTATTTACAACCACGCCCTTGCACAAATATGAAAACGCGGTTTCCCAGCAGTGATTTGAAAACCCGTATAAACTACTACCCGAATGGAGCCTTACAAGGCTCCTTATGAGTGACCAGAAACTGTCATTTAGGAGGTTGTGTCTTAGTTGCTCTATCACCCGGCGTAAGGCAGCATACTAATTGTCCCAACTCATTCTACGCCCTTGAGTATCAGCCTAGTCTTGGGCGTTTATCTTTGTGGGTGGGGTTGACTGGAACGGACACGGGGAACGCTCTCAGGCGTATTACAATGTCTAGTCCCTTTTTGTAGTGTAATCAAAGGTCTTAACTTGTCGAACCGCATTGCTAGACCCGCGCCGCCTCTGTAGACTTGAAGGGGCTCTGCTATTGTTGTGATACCCTGGCCTCTATCTCCCAGTCAGTTGCAATAACTCTCAAAAATGGCCTTATGAAGGACAAAGTTGATCAGAAATACCTTACAGACTGTTATCTGTGCGTGCCGCATAGTTATTAGTTCGTAAATGAATCCTTAGTTTAAATTGGATTTTTCATTTTCCTCAAAATTCGGAAAAAATGGCAGCTGAGAGACCGCAAAAACTATGTCGAGAAAACTGATCCTCATTAACTCCTCTGTATTCTTGCCACCTAAGAAAAACGGCAATATTCTGTGTTAAATTACTATGACAAAACACTCCATGAACTGTGGCTGAGCCTCTGCCACGCCACACATATTGATTACTTTCTCTAATTGCAAGTTTTCGGAGGAATGAGGGACTCGCACAGGCCACATTGTTGCTGGACTATCTTCTTCTGTCCTGTTCATAACATCAAACCCTAGCTTACTCATTCCTCTAGGTTCAGCCGTTTGGTGCCGTAGATGGACGCTTCGGCGATGTCAATGACTGTGTTGGTTTCTTCACTGTCGGCATAATCTCCAACCTACTCGTCGTCTTTCTACTGCTCGGAATCTTCTCCTATGGTCTTTCCATGGTCATGGGCATCCAGACCAACGACGCGTTCGACGATCCCAAGTCCAAAATGATGCAGCTCGGAAGCACTGCGGATTAACTTCGTCAGTAGTAGTTCTGAGACGTTTGGAGACGAAATTCCTCGGGCCTACAGCCCTACCTATATGTGATCCATTACATTGACACTTGTAACTCATAAAGTGCTGACTACCCCTGATGCAACTAATTCTGGTCATCGTTCTGCTTGTAAGTTTTGCTGTGATGTTCTAGCCACCTTTTTACGCATCTCAAATTTTCATTCCGCTGAAGTTGTTGTGTAACTGTTTACCTTCCTATCTTTGCCTGACTACTATTATCAATATATCTTACTACTACAGTCTTAGTGTGGGAACTAACTCGGCCTGGCTGTCGGTGTCTTCCCCGCCCTGGTTTTTTCAGCCTATCAAGAGTGCAATGTACTGCCTTCGTGTAAATACAATTGCCGAACCGATTTCACTGAAGATGTGCCATGTTACTTCAACCCTGTTTAACGGAAATGTGTTGTTAGATTGTCTGGCAGGCGCCGTATGCTTCCGCGCTTGTCTTTACACCATATTTGGCCTGTACTAGCAGGTAATGGAGCACGCCATTGTCTTAACACCAATAGGCTGCCATACTATCGATGCTGGTTGAGTTCATAGTTGCGCATGACCAAATGAAGTTGGTAGTGTGCATGTTAGAAATTTTCCTCCTTCCTTTCGAATCAAAAAAGCTAATTTCTTCAGAATATCTATTTGATTTAAGTTCAACAATATTATTCATGTTTCATCACTCCACAACCAGACGTAGTCTCCGCCAGCTGTAAGGAGACTGTTACCATTAGGATGAGGACAAAGGGAGTGGATAAAGGGGACGCCAGTAGCAGTAGGCTCAGACTGGATGTCCGCTTCGTTGGCCAGATTCCGTGACCAGG